TACATCACAATATTCTATGGACCAGATGGTAACGGTAGCACGCTTGAGACATATACTTTGTTAGCACTAAATTCGTCTAAATTACAAATTTAAATCTATTAAAAGTTCTTGAACTCTTCGAATCCATTCAAATGTCTCAACGAAGTTTTGAATTCGGACAACAGTAGAATATCTTCTTAACCGTACACATCGCCTCCTTATCAGAGAGTATCTCGCCACAAATGAAAACGCTGCTTTCTGCGATGTCTTTCGGGGAAATTGAAATAAAGTGAGCAAGTAAGTATCCAAATGCCGACTCGCTTGAATACTCGTTAATCGCGCTCGATAGTCGACGCTCGATCAACGTGCGCGTACAAATCCGACGAATGATCGTCGGTTCCTGTAAAAACGGTGGATTTAATGGAAACGCGTCCACGACACGTCAGAGAAAGCGATACGAAGCGGTGCGTTCATAAGACGAAGCGCAAGATCTATGGCGATCGAAGAACGCGCACTTCTCGCATTTTTGTGACTGGTAAACCGTCCGCCGATCCAACGATTTAAATCAGTCATGAACCACGCGTGAGTGTATTCCGAGGTAATTCGGGACGGTTGAAGTGTTGCGCGCGAAATCGGTATGACGGATTCGCGGTTGTTCGTCTATTGTATGCGCTTCGGCAACTCGTCGGTTCGCGCGAGTGGAAGATCTCGAATGGCGCTCATGTATAATCGCCGGGAGTGCAATGCTAACAAGTAGTCCAGCTGACTCTGACAAAATGGTAGGGTACTCGCGTTCCACGGGAGGTAATACGTTTTTACATACATAATTTGAACGCCTCCGGTGACGGAGTACGATGAGTACTGATAACCATGACCAAACGGAGCCCTGCGTCAGCAAACCATCCACAAGAATCGAGTTTAACGCCGACGAGAAAGCGTTCGACGGCAGGCGAATCAAAAAAGAACGAAGTGACGTTACCGTTGAGAACGGCGATGGCAGCGTCAACGTTTGCATTAGCGATAACAACAAGCAAGTACAGCAAAGCCAGCGCCCGGCTGCCGGTAGACTTTCGAACGGCTTCCACGACGGTGACCCACTTCAAGACATCATCGCGGCCAAGTTCACGGCCCTGGCAAACCATGGCACGACTGCCAAACACGAAAAAATTCGGTTTATGCTTGAAGACAGTATCGGGTAAGCTCAGAGATATATATCTCGTTTTCTTTCTTTCGTTATTTCTTCGCTCGCTCCCCCCCTCCACCCCCCTTCCGCCTTAAGCTCTGTCTTCCCTTAATGACCATCAGCCATACACTGGTATTTAAAAGCAAAATGCAGCACACGAGGTCCTCGTGATAAAAATGAAAACTATTCCTACAATTTTCTGCTTTTCGTCGTTAGACGTGTATTTTTTATAATGAAATATTACTGTGAAATGTGAAGGATTGTTTTTGTAATTAGACTGGCTGTAATTGATCTGATTGAAATAGTTTTTGTGGCCAAGACCGTTTTTCAAGTCATCTTTTTGTTATTAGATTAATCTGATTAATGAATAAGATATTGAGAATATGTTTGTTGAAGGTTGCTTGGTATTTAGAATTGCATTAGTGGATTTAGGTGATATTTTTTGACAGGGTCATTGAGATTATATAAAGGACAAGTTAAATTCTTTTAGTGTCATATTTTTAAAATCCTTGTAATCAAAATTCAGTTTTTGCAAATACAATGAGTTTGAATACTTAAGTAAGACTAAAAGAAGGAGAGGAGAATGCTGATGTAACCTTTTTATAGTAATAGAAGTATTGTAAATTTAAATAACTAAGATATAACTGTAACATATTATAGTATAAGAATAAATGTATTAGTAGAAATATGTGAAGTATCATTTTTTCTAATTGTGTATTGGTTCTTATACATAGCGAAGAATCGAAAACACGCATTCAGAATATCTTTTCACAAATTGAACAACTCAAAACAGAAGAAAAATTGTTACTGTACCTGAAACTTCCATTATCATTGACCAATACTGGAGGAACTATAGATCCTTTGAGACAACCATTAAATCCATTGGGAAATCGTTATGAAATTCACCAAACTATCATGTGGATTAAAACACATTTGGAAGAAGACCCTGATGTCTCTTTACCAAAGCAAGAAGTTTACGATGAATATAAGTGAGTATTGTGAATCTTACATATACTTTTTTTAATAGACCTTTGTAATTTTTGAAAAACTAATAACTCAGTATACCACAATTATATATCATTTTATTTCCTGCTTTGAAATTTCTTCGCAGCATGTACTGTATGCGTAATTCTATGAAGCCCTTATCAACTGCTGATTTTGGAAAAGTAATGAAGCAAGTGTATCCTAGAGTTCGACCCCGCAGACTTGGCACACGAGGCAATTCGCGTTATTGTTATGCTGGAATGCGCAAGAGAGTTACATTGGATCCTCCAACATTGCCTAACATTACTGGAACTCAAGCTGTAAGACATAATATAATATAATATTACTTTGAAACGTTCTAAATAAAATTTCGTAATATGATATAAAATGATATTTAAACATTTTAAATAACACCTATAACAAATTAGTAAAAAGATATACTGTACAACTTGAAAATTTACTTTATGAATATTTCTAAAGTCTTAACTATTTCTAAGTTAAATACTTATACTTTCAGGGTGACGAGGTAGATGAAAACATTACAGAAGAAATGTTGGGAGCTGCATCTACACTGATCAGAGAATGGGCAGAAAATTTGTTGGGTTTAAAATTTCCAACTTTGAGTGCCTTAGCACGTCATCTTGTTGATAATCTTTGTGTTGATACACGATCATTGGCTGCTGTGTGTATATTATGTGCTTCGGGAAATTCTAATACAACTACAAATAAAGGTTTGTTATTCACACTTCATATTCCTCGAGTTATATTAAATTAATCTAATAATTGACTGTGTATTTAGAGTCTAATATGGATTTACATGTAACTCCTTTGTCTACGAAATCTGGAAAACTTAGAGAAGCACAGTTACAGTTACAACGAAAATTGCAGCAGCGGGAACATACAAGGGATCAAAAACATCATCATTTTGATGCTGTTGTCCAGGTATAAAATATTTTATAAAAATAACATCTTTGATGGAAATAATTTGATCGATAAGGTAACATTACATACTTTACAAATGTTACAGAATCAGAACAAAGAGAAGACTGTTGATAATAAATCTGGGGCAAATAAGGGAAATAAAAAAACTAAGTCCATTCAGTCATCCCAAGGTACAAATATATCGAGTGGACATAATACATCAACGAAGTTTAATTTATCTGCTGTAGTAACCAGTCGGCAGAAAAGGGTTCATAAAACTAATAGTCAGCCATGTAACATCTCCCTGGAATCTAACTGTGATAATGTAGTGGTACAATCGATTGAAGACATACAGAATAGTAGCAACTCTAGTGTAGTGATGACCAACTGCGTAAATACACAGCGAGACGTCAAACCGAAAAATTCCAGAAAGCGTGCCAATCCAGTTGTACTGAATCAACAATCAGATACCAGCCCCGAGAAGCAAACGAAACTTACAGAACAACAAGTGCAAGAGAATGTGGAACATTCCAATATGTTGTTGCCTAAGCTTACATCTGTACAACACCCAGAGAAAATAACGGTGACATTAACTGGTAATCTGAAACCTAGCAAGTGTAATGTCAGTGAGGCTGTTAGTAATCAGTCTACTAAAAACTGTGATATTGAACTGTCAACATGTTCGAAAAATTGTGTTAAAGTGAACGGGTGTCCTAACAACTTTGAACGTAATTCAAACGTAGCCGAGGAGCCTACAATTTTAACTAAAGATCAGATTCGATTGTTGCAGGGAAATTCAAATCTCCTAGGTAAACCTGAAAAGCTTCGTTCTATCAATTCAGATACTTTGGACGACTATTTGAATGGAGGTAACAATTCCCAAGAGCAAGAGGAGGAATTACTACAGTATTTTCAACAGAGCAGCTCGTCGAGTTCAGACGTGGAAGCTAATAATATAGCTGCCGATGAACAAATATCAAGATCTGATAAAGTCTCTCAGTTGAGACTAATATTACAACAAAATTTGAAATCTGGAACTGTGCATGCACCTTCTTCGGATGTACTACCTTCTGCTATTATCAGGCAACACGTTGAGAAACGTGAAATCACACAAAAACATAATTTAATATTACCAACATTGCTGAATCATTCGAATCAAAGCAATACTAGGCGTAGGGTCAGTTTCGAAACGAACGTTGTGGAACACGTACAAGAGTCGAATGTCATTATGAACACGGTACCGCAAAGTCCAAATACACGTCGTAGAATATTTAATTTCACGCCGATATCGCCGGGTCCGCATTCACCTATCAACGGCCGAACTTCCAAATCTAATTCCGCAAATGCTAGTCCATTTGTTTCACCGCGAAATACACCTGTGCCACGCTCGAGGAGTAACTTGCAAGCAACCAGTTCCAGAGCTCGTGCTCACAAATCGTTATCGCGCTCTGTATCTTGCAGTATGCCTTATACGAGTAAGAACGATACTTTCGTTGTTCCTACTAGTGGTCCAGAATTAATTAGGCAAGCATCCACACCGCAAATACCATTAATTTCAACAAAATCATCGGAGGTACAGGTTGGCAACAGTACAACGCAAATTTCTGTTACTTCAAAGGTAGAGGCTCAAGGGTCGCAGTGCGCCGCATTTTTATCCTCTGACTTGGCGCCGCAAAAACAGTTGCTTATCAACTATCCGAGTCAGGAAAACCTGCAGGAAATAAAGAATGTGTACCAAAAGAATCAGCCTGATCAGGAAATTAGCGAATTATTCCATGGTAACAAACAATTCACTAACGAACTCTACAGATCGCAGTCGGTTCCATTGCACAGGATGGTCAATCCTGCGTTGATGTCACCAATTTCAACGCAACATTGTTTGTCGACGTTTCAGAGTCAGAGCTTTAATCCATCCACGAACAGCTCTATAGCGCCTACGCCAGTACCTAGTGAATTTAACGACTTCGGGTCGATCGGTCCGTCAGAAGGAACGTCAACATACTTGCTCGACGATGTAGATCCAAATTTTATGTCGGACGATCAACACTTCTTGATGAGCGACAAGGAGATTACACCTGAAAACATAACCAACATATTAAATATCCTGGACGAGGAGGGAGCACAGAGCTTACAAATTCTACCGGATCAGTCCGCCGAAGAAAGTTTAATAGAAAACAACGCGATCGTACTGGACACTTTACCGAATTCAAACTTAAACTTGTCGGAGGAAGACGTGTTGGATCCATCGAATGTGCACGATATCCCAGTTGGTGGTGACTTACAGAAAATAATACAATCGCGCTCCTACCCCAATACACCATTACCTGTGCCAGTATCTACATACACATCATCTTACACAGAAGATAGTAATGGTTCAAGATCATACCCTTCGACGCCGCTGCACACAGTCCAATCACAAGAAATTTATCAAGAGACCAATGAACCGATGCTTCCCAGTCCTACTTTGAACTCGTTAAACTTACACAATGAAACAGTGAATGAATCTACCCCCGGCAGTTTGTGTAGAAATGTTGTGGATTTACTCGAAGCGAATTTTCTTGGGGAAACGGACACAGAAACAAATGATTTGGACCCGCTCGGTAATTTTGATGGACTGCAAGATGACGATTCATTAACACCTTTGTTTAATGAAGTAACAGAGCCTAATCGTTGAAAGCATACACAGAAGTAATTCATGGATCTTGAGAATTTACATAGTGATCTACCAAAGGTTGGAAAAATAATTCTTAAGTTGTATGTTTGTAGGACTTTATTCAACAATGATAATTCTTTACATAAGTACTGCAGTTTGATGTGCAAAGTATTATAATGACGGTGTACAGAATGGACCAATATAATTGTCTTCAATATCTTTGCTATTAGAGGGGTTAGAACAAAGTTGTCGAACAAAATTTATACAGCGGAAACAATTTCACGTTTTTGTTCTGCAAGTTTGTTCCTGATTTCCTGTATTCATTAAAGATATTCAAGATAATCATTCTTTATCGATTCATCCTGTATAACATTTGCAAATAAGTCTTACTTTCTTGTGCTTAAATCGAATAATTAATAATTACAGTGATCAAATAATCGTATATCAATTTGACCCTGTATACAATAAATATTTATTTTATATTCAGTAGGACTATAATAGTAAAATTTTATAACAGTAAAATTTTCTTCCATGCGTAGTTTCGATTATGATTTACATAGTTTTGTACCTTGGAATATTAAATTAATTAAAATATTAAACGCGGTAAAAATGCTGGTTGTTTTGTTTATCTTGTTCGCTTTTATATCTCTATTACTTTAGCGGAACAAAAAGATTGAGGAAGAAGTTGTTGGACTTTACAGAATGAATATTGTGACAAATGATTTGAATACTTGATCGTCTTTTTCAATTTTTCATGACAATCAGTATTTTTTGAACTTTGATATCACATTTTTTCTTATTGTGTTGCAGCTTAAAAATGAAATTTAGGACTTTCTAATCTTCAAATGACCTTGTATATGGAAAATCTGTGAAATAGATAAATGTAGAAAAACACTATACATACACTATACATGTTTGAATTCGATTTCTCATCAACTCCAACAGTCAAACAACAAAAATCCAATGATCTTGAAAAATTAGAAAGGATGACCCCGAGTATTGGAGTCACGTGTCACCGGTCCTCATCCGACAAAATCGAACAACTTTCCAAGATATAAAAACCGAATAAAATAAACAAAGCATCCTGCATGTATACACATATATACATATGTATATAAAAAAAAAATTGACAGTTGAAACTAATGTTATCAATTTATCTTAATTGCAGTACCATAAAAATATGATGAGAGCAGCTTATGATGGAAAAATCAGATACAAATGAAAATATTACAAAGTTTGACCAGTAAATTATAAATAATTTCGAAGCAGATATAAGTGTACAATTCAATTTAATCTATAAAGAGCAGAAAACAAAGTGAGTAACTGCCAATTTTATTCACTTTAGATTTGTGACACTAAGTTTTTTAAGTAAGTAAAGGAAAAAAAGAACACTGTGATGTAAATGTAAATCTCTGAAATATATTTCTTGAATTTGCCATTAGCAAAACTAAAAGTGTAAATGTCTCCAGTGGAGCTATAAGCATCTTTGGTGGAACATTGAGTTTGCAAGTGTGAAAAATGATGGAGAAGTTGCTCAAATGGAGCGATCGTGTTGCTATGAAGCATTTGAGATTCGGATAAGTGGAAGTTGATTTTATAGAAATACTTTATATTCATCGTTTTGAAACGTTTGTTTCTAAGTCATTTGAGAACGCGTTATTGCGACTTTGTTATTCTAAGAAATATTTCGATCACCTGCTGGTCATGGGTGAGCTTCATTTGCATAACATTTGGCATTGAACCCAGTATATAATACTCTTTTGAACCATGAAAAAGTCAAACTGCGATTGTATGTATGTGTAAATGTTTTACTTTATTTTAAAAATTGTAAAAATTTGCGTTTGCATAACGAAACACATTTCATATTAAATCAGAAGTATTCAAACAACAGAAATTTTTTTGTCACTTCCCTAAAAATGTTAACGTTCTCTTCTATTTTCTTGAAATTTTTTAACTGAGATTTTTATACGGCTGTCAGGTTTCTGATCTTGTGGTGTGAATTGTTTTTAAATAATGTTCTATTTGTAACCATTTGCACTGATTTCTCGAATTCGGTCACTAAATTTAGCCATGAACACATTGTCAAAGTATAAAAATGCCTATACAGTTTAACGTTTGAGAACTTCTGTTTTAAATTAAATAAAATATACTCTTAAAGATGTAGTATCGCATACTTGAATTTTGTACTGGATCCTACAAGGATAATAGTGCTATATAATTATTAGTATAGCGTGTCTTTTTTTCCATAAGTCTTTGTTTATCAAAGAAACCCAAATTATCATAAGAATTCCGCCACTTTATATTTTTCTATAGCGCTTTTAATTGGGACTTTTACCAATTGGATAGTTGTTTAATTGATTTTTACTTCTATGCATTATGATTAGCTAGCTTTCGAAGCTAAAAGAGCTAGTTACTTCATAGGAAACTTACGCAAC